AGCCCATTTACATTTAAGGTTAATATAGTTATGTATGAATTTGATCCTGCCATCATGATGTCAGCTGGTTATTTTGCAGGCTTACTGAGGTAGTTGCTTCCTAATGTCATTGGTCTTTGTATTTCAGTGTATTTTGGTAGTGGCTAATAGTTTTTCCTTTCCATACGTAGTTAGCGTTTTCTTCAGGAGCTCCTGCAAGGCCTAGTGCTGATGAATCCCCTCAGCATTTACTTGTCTGAAAAGGATTTTATTTCTCCTTTGCTTATGAAGTTTAGTTTGGCCGGATAGGAAATTCTGGGTTGCAAATTCTTTTCTTTAAGAGTATTGAATATTGGCCCCCAATCTCTTCTGGCTTGTAGGGTTTCTGCTGAGAGGTCCACTGTTAGTCTGATGGGCTTTCCTTTGTAGATGACCTGGCCTTTCTCTCTGGCTGCCCTTAACATCTTTATTTTAGACAGAGTCCTGCTCTGTCACCTAGGCTGGAGTACAGTGGTGCAATCTCAGTTCACTGCAATCTCCACCTCCCGGGTTCAAGCGACTCTCCTGCCTCAGCCTACTGAGGTCTGGTGGCTCACTCCTATAATCCCAACACTTTGGGAGGCTAAGGCAGGCAGATCACTTGAAGTTAGGAGTTCGAGACCAGCCTGGCCAACATGGTGAAACCCTGTCTCTACTAAAAATGCAAAAATTAGCTGGGCGTGGTGGCGCATGCCTGTAATCCCTGCCCTTAACATTTTTTCCTTCATTTCGACCTTGGAGAATCTGATGATTATGTATCTTGGGGTTGATCTTCTCATGGAGTTCCTTATTGGAGTTTTCTGGATTTCCTGAATTTGAATGTTGGCCTGTCTTGTTAGGTTGGGGAGGTTCTCCTGGATGATATCCTGAAGGGTGTTTTCTGACTTGGTTCCATTCTACCCATCTCTTTCAGGTACCCCAATCAGTCATAGGTTCAGTCTTTTTACGTAATCCTATCGTTCTCAGAGGTTTTGTTTATTCTTTTTCCCTTTTATTTCCTCTCATCTTGTCCACCTGTCTTATTTCAGCAAGATAGTCTTCAAGCTCTGAAATTCTTTCCTCTGCTTGGTCTATTTGGCTATTGATACTTGTGAAGTTTTCGTGTCGTGTTTTTCAGCAGCATCAGGTCATTTATGTTCCTCTCTCAACTGGTTATTCTGGTTAACAACTCCTGTAATGTTTTATCATGGTTCTTAGCTTCTTTGCATCAGGTTAAAACGTGCTCCTTTAGCTCAGTGAAGTTGGTTATTACCCACTTTCTGAAGCCTACTTCTGTCAGTTCATCCATCTCAGCCTCAGCCCGGTTCTGTGCCCTTACTGTAGACATGTTGTGATCATTCGGAGGAGAAGAGGCACTCTGGCTTTTTGAGTTTTCAGCATTTTTTGGCTGATCCTTTCTCATCTTCATGGGTTTATCTTGTTTTGGTCTTTGAGGCTGCTGACATTTGGATGGGATTTTTGTGGGGACTTTTTAGTTGATGCTGTTGCTGTTGTTGCTTTGTTTATTTTTCTTTTAACAGTTAGGCCCCTCTTCTGTAGGGCTGCTGCAGTTTCCTGGGGGTCCAATCCAGGCCCTATTCACCTGGGTCCCTCCTGCCCCTGGAGGTGTTACCAGTGGAGGCTGCAGAACAGCAAAGATGGCTGCCCGCTCCTCCATCTGGGAGCTCCTTCTCAAAGGGGCACTGAGCTGATGCCAGCAAGAACATGACCGTATAAGGTTTCTGCTGAGCCCTGTTGAGGGGTCTCACCCAGTCAGGAAGCACAGGATCAGGGACCCACTTAACAAAGCACTCTGGCTGACTCTTAGCAGAGGGTGTGCCCTGCACTTGTGGGGGATCCCACTCATCCAGACAGCCCTGATTCCTCAGAGCCAGCCAGGGGAGAGACTAAGTCCACTATTCTGTGGATATCGCAGCTGCCTTTCCTCCCCAGGGGCTCCAACCCAGGGACATCCAGTCCCTGGCTGGAGTTGCTGAAATTCCAGCGGGGAGGCCCTGCCTGGTGAGGTGGGATGGGCCTTGGTTTGGCCTAAAGAGGCAGTCTGGCCACAGTCTGCCACAGCCACTGTGGTGTGCTGTGGGGAATTCCTCGTGGGTCCAAACTGCCCAGTCTCCATGACACCAGCAGGGGAAAATGGCAGACTGGAGCTCCAGTGATGGTGGCCACCCCTCCCCACAGGGGCTCGGTAATCTTAGGCCGTCTCCAGTGTAGCAGCCATCAGGAATCTGCACAGCTCTGTGCTTGGCACCCAAAGCCCTGGTGGTGTGGGGCTCACGAGGGAATCGCCTGATCCGCGGATAGCACAGATCCATGGAGAAAGCGAGGTTTCCCGGTTAGGGCAGCACAATCGCTCACCGCCTCTTTTGGCCGAGAGTCAGAGGTCCGCTTGCCCCGTGCCGCTCCCGGGTGGGCAGGCGCTCCACCCTGCTTTCCTCACTCTCCGTGGGCCTGCCTAGTCAGTCCCACTGACAGAACCTGGACACCTCAGTTGCTGGTGCAGGATTCACTCACCATTTTCATTCTCCTTCCTGAGAACCTCTGACCTCGGCTGTTTCTGGTCGGCCACCTTGGTCCTTCCCCGGATTTATTGCTTTTAATGGAAGAGTACAATTTCATATGTTGGTCCTAAAGTTTTGCAGACACCTCAAACTGGAATCATTCTCTTTCTCTAACCTGCTTCTCTCCTATTTCCCTGCCTCAGTGGGCAGGCAGCGCCCCCTATCAAGCCAGCTATTTGGACACCGTGTTCAGCACCTCTTCCTCCCCACCCCTTATACCTAAATTGCCATGTCCTGGCAATTCTACCCACTTGCTATCACCACCACAAAGCTAGTTCAGGCAGCTGTTCTCACTCCCCTAAGAAACTGTGACAACTTTTTAGCTGCTCACCTCACAGCCAGTCATGTTCCCTGAATACATCCCCCCTGGTCTAGCGACAGTGGCCTATACACATCTGACCACATTTCTACTGGGCTTAGTAGGGTAAGGCCCAAGCTCCTGGGCACAACCTGCAAAGCCTGTTGTAGCTCCTGCCCCACCACACTGTCAGATCCTTGAGAACCGGCTTCGTTCTATTTCTCTTTATAGCTCCTTTGATCAGCCAGAAACTCACTCCTTGTTATATAAATGAATAAAGTGTTTAAAAATCAAAACAATGTTTGATCTATTGGGTAAACTAGAAAATTTAAACTCATAGACTTAAACTTTCAAACATCAGAGACAAGTCGGGACCCTGCTGAGCCCATGGCTGCCCTTTTGTAACTGGCAGAGGGTTGGCCAGATGTGCATGGCCACGCCCATGGCTCCTGTCTCCGACCTTCCTTTCGATATGGAATTAATTGAGTCCTGGAGTGAGACCCTGGGCTATTTCTAGAAATTGCCATCCTTCTCCGGAGTGGTCTCTACTGACATCTGACACATTTAAACCACGTGGCTGCTCAAGAGAGCCCGTGCCAATCTATTTTAGAGAAACCATCCTCAGAAATGCATTTTCCAGAAAGACTTGTCCAGAAATCACGGAACTGGCCAATCACACCAGCCCTGCTCCCACGTAGGCTTTCTTTTCAATCCAGAGGCACTTCCAATGTTTGCCAAAGAGGAAATGTTGATGGCCTGATCTCTGGCACAAGTGTAACTGCCCAAGGGCTTCATCTTCCCCACTGTCTAGACAGAGCCAACTTACCAAGACAGGGGAATTGCAATAGAGAAAAAGTATTTGACACAGAGCTGTCTGTGCGGGAGACCAGAGTTTTATTATTACTCAAATCAGTCTCCCCAAAAACTCAAGGATCAGGGTTTTTAAGGATAATTTGGTGGGTAGGGGGCCAGTGAATCGGAAGTGCTGATTGGCTGGCTCAGGGATGAAATCATAGGGAGTTGACGCTGTTCTCTCCTGCTGAGTCAGTTACTGGGTGGGGGCCACAGAACTGGTTGGTAGGGCAAGGTGTGGCCACCCGTTGTTAGAAAGGTGAAAACCCGAAAAGACATCTCAAAAGGCCGATCTTAGGTTCACAATAGAGATGTTGCCTTTAACAGTAACTGGGGAAGTTGCAAATCTTACGACCTCTGGAATAATGGCTGATAATATTTAGAATTCCAGCCCCTCTCATTCTAACTTGGTGGCTGGTGGACTTTCATTTGTTTTACAGAAACAGTTTAGCTTTGGGAAAGGGCTTTAATTTAAATTATAAATTAAATTCCTTCCCAAGGCTAGTTCAGCCTACGCCCAGGAATGAATAAGGACAGTTTAGAGGTTAGAAGCAAGATGGAATTGGTTAGATCTGATGTCTTTCACTGCCATAATTTCCTTAGTTACAGTTTTTCAAGGCGATTTCTCAAGGATTGTGCCACATTGACAGGTGGGATCTATCTTTCATTGGACAAGCTACTTAACACCTCTGAGGCTCAGTTTATTCATCGTTAAATGGGAATAAAAAGAATAAGTACCTCACAAAGTTATTGTGAGGATTAATGAGATGAAGTGATATTGGATTTAGCATTATATTATAAAGGTTTTCTGAACGTCACGTATGGTCCTTTCTTTACGTGTTGTCCTAAAGCAAGATTTGAGGGTGCAGTGGAAACACCTGCCAAATTATAAGACAAAAATAAGGAAACAAGAAAACCAGGGTCAAGAGGGACATTGCATCATCTCAGAGAATCATGAGGGCTTCACCTTCCTTATATCACATACCCACTTGGCCATTCAGTTATTTATTCATTCGCTCGTTCAGCACTTAACTCTGAGCAGCTCTTCAGCATGGTAACATAAATAAGTAAAAGACTTTGTGCCTCTGGCTAGAAAGAAGAGCTGGGAGATGTCCAACTAAAACTCACTGCTGCAGGATCTACAAGAGACAGCGGAGGGCGTGCCTGCCAGGGCTTGCAGGGGGGCCACGTGCGGTAGCCCTTGTCCGTGATGAGCTGGGTTTGCAGTCACTTTCCCGTCCTGATGACGTATCTGCTTTGTGTTCACATTTCAGCAATCATCTGGGGGGCTAAATGTGACAAACCAAGAAGATGGCCAAGATCAACACCCAATACTCCCACTCCTCCAGGACCCACCTCAGGGTAAAGCCCTCAGACCGAGATCTCGATCGTGCTGAAAATGGCCTCAGTAGGTAAGATGGGCTTTTCGTTTTATGCCTGGCTCTGGTCGTTTCCACAGCACATCTAGACTATGGGGGAAGAACGCCTTCACGTTGGCCAACCACAGGTCGGAGGGCAGGGGAGGTATTCACAGCACTGCCAATTTCATTTTTCATCTCACTTAATCCTCACAACCCCCAGAAACTAGTCTGTATTATTGTTTTAGAGATGTGGAAAAGCAGGCTTAAATAGTGACTTAATTGCTATAAGAAAATGAAGATTCAAATGCAGCAGACTAAATTTTACTGTAAGAACTTCCTCAAACTGACACACTCTCTCATGTATTCATCAAAAATGCGTTGGACTCTTGCTGTGCACCAGCCACTGAACTGGGTTTGCAGCCTGAGCTGGGCACCAAGGATGTAGCATGAATCCAGTGCCCTGCCCTCGCTTCCAGGGGAGCATCTGGAGGCAGGCCATGCCCAGGGCCTGTATAGGGAGTGGGTAGTGCCTTGTCAGCCAAGCCATCAGCTCCACCAATGACATCCTGACACAGGTAGGAAATGGAAATCTGGGGCCTTGAGCTCTACTTCGAGCCCTGTTCCTAACTTCCTAGCAGACCTGGAAAAATGCACTTAACCTCTCCATGCCTCAATTTCTCCACCTGCAGAATGGAACAGCATTTTTTCCAAGCTCCTGGTATAACAGTGAGGACATCGGAAGGGACCCATTTAGTGTGCATGGACCTAAACCCTTATGTTTCTTTGTTTTTAGTTTTCTCATTTTTGTTTTTTGAGACAGAGTCCCACCCTGTCACCCAGACTGCAGTGCAGTAGTGCAATCTCAGCTCACTGGGTTCAAGTGATTCTCCTGCCTCAGCCTCCCTAGTAGCTGAGATTACGGGCGCCCGCCACCACACCCTGCTAATTTTTGTATTTTTAGTACAGATGGGGTTTCGCCCTGTTGGCCAGGCTGGTCTCGAACTCCTGACCTCAGGTGATCTGCCTGCCTCAGCCTCCCAAAGTGCTGGGATTACAGGTGTGAGCCACCGCACCCGGCCATGTTTCTTAAATTCTCAATGAGATGATTGAGTTGAACCATGAGTAACTTTCTTTCCAATATTTCTGTTACTTTCACCCTACATATATAGAATTGAAAATTATGCAGCTTAAATGCACACTGTCTGATGGCCCCAAAATGCAGTAACATCCCTCAGTCCCCACCTCCCAGCACTGGGCCGTCATGCCTCATTTCTTCCATTCATTTGTGTTCATCACTTCCTCTCCCAAATGCACATCTGGTTTTTTCTCTATCTATGTTCTTGGTCCCAGCTCCGCAGCAAACTCTGCTAATAAGTGATGGTCAATAATTTTCAAAGAGATTGAGTCCCCATTACGCAAACCCACACAGCCCTTGAACCCCACCTTCTGAGATTTCGGCAAAGGAAGGAAGATCCCAGAGCATCCCCAACAGATACTTATTTCCTCCAACCATTTAACTCTGTGCCGGGGCCCCAGGAAGTGTGATATAGCTTCAGAAGCCTCAGAAAATTCCATCCTACTCAAATACCTTTATCCTAACTAGCCCTTTGTCAATGCCTGTGTCCTACCACTGGAGACTTAGTCCTCTAAATTAAGGCATTGCTCCTTATTTCAAAGAACAAAGAACGCTATTAGGACTGTATTCACTCTTGAAACATTTGTATGTTTTAATAGTTTATTTCCCATGTGTGAGCTAATAGAGCCCCGTGAAGAGGGCTTCAAAGAGAGTATCAAAAGAGGGCATCAGGCAGAAGGAGCCCAACGATGGGGCACAGGATCCTGGGCCCAAGACCTTGGGAGAAGGACCAGAGGCTGTCAGGATCAGGAAGATTTTGAAGCAGAATGGAACTTTTCCTCTTTGCACCCCACTTGCCTGGAGTGGGGCATGACCCAAGCATCTCATGGAGCTTCCAGGTTCCCTAAGGCGGAGAAGGCAGTAATGGGATCTCAGTCCGGCTCCTTCCAGTGAGATATTCACTGGAGTAGGCACCCAGGAGAAGGCAGGCCTGGTCTGTAGGCTGCTGCGGCTCCTGCCCACAATGTCTGCTTGACTTGACAGCACTACAGTCCTGCTGACTCACCCTGGCTCTGCTTTGGCCAGTGACCTCCACACCCAGCTTGACCTGTGGCCTGTTCAAGAGGGCTTTCAAGGCCTCTTAGAAGATGACCATTTGCTAAATGAATTGCTAGCTTGTTAAGCCACGCTAATACCAGTCACCGGCCTCTGGCTTCTAGCAGACTCCCTGCAGGCTCACTCTGGAATGCACATTGACAAGGGTCACAGCATGCTCTAGGGATCAGCCACATGGTCAGCGGCTCTGAACTGATGCCCTTCAACAATGCTATTTGTGGTCTGCATGGGTGAGAAAAGGTCCTCCCTTCTCCTTCCTTTGCACCTTCTGTGACCAGAATGATGGTTTAACAGCACAGGTTTTGGGTCAGACTGCCCGGGTTTGAACACTGGCTCTGCAACTGACCTGCTACGAAAAGTTGCTCAATGGCTCCAAGCCTCAGTTTTCTCATCTGTAATATGAATCGGTACTAGTGTTGCCTCCTAGGGCTGTGGGGAGGTTACAGCAGACATGAATGCAGAGGTCCCAGCACGGCCCCTGCTGTGTGGTTGAGAGCCCATTGACTCTCACTCCCGGTCTTGGAAATGGTTACTTCTTCCTGTGGGCCTTCTCTGGTCTCTTCTCCTTGACCTCAGATAGCCCCATTTCCGGCCCGTGTCCAAGCCCTGCTGTCTCAGCCTGACCACTAGCTGAGGTTTACTGAGCTCCACTCAGGCCTCAGCCCTACCCTTCATGTGGTAAATTGACAGATTAACACAGTATCCCATGGAAACACCACCGAGATTCCAAAATGAGAGACAGAAAGAGCGCTTCCTTTATGAGAGAGCTATGCTTTATCTTACAGAGGCAAGAGTGGCTTTAACCAGCCACAAATTTTCAGAATGTTCCTTGGAGTCACAAAGGAATGACAATGTGTGCTCAGGATGGGGTACAGCAGCCTCAGGGATGGAGGCTGGGCCCAGCCCCTCCCCGGCTTCCCAGCCCAGCCCCGCACCTGTCTATCCACCTGATTTGAACAAAGGACTCCAGCACCTACCACGTAAAAATTTTTACGTTTCAAATCACAATTTTGGAGCCAAGAGAAACGGTGTTTGGACAAGCCACACCTCTTTGTCTTGAAATTCCAGTCCTTTTGGAAAACTTTTGAGATAAATGATTGAGAATTGGGGTACACGAATGTTAATCACTCTTTATCTTCAGTGATATCAAGAAGCCTGCACTGGGAACCTGCGTGTGGGTGTGGCCCCTCGCTGACTGCCCCCAAGAGGAAGGCACAACCAAGTCTCTGTCCCTTGAGACTTCCCTGCCCCAAGGTCTTTTCACCAAATCGGAGGCCCAGTTTTTAAGTTATTGGAATTATTTTTATAGTGGAACGTCATAAGGAAGCATGAAAACACTTCATTTGAATGAAAACATTTTACACCCTGAAAACACCAAAAATAAGTTTGAGTTTTTCTTTTCTGCTTAGCCCTTCTTAGTTGGCTCAATTACTTAAGAGCTGTCTGGCATATCTGTGAGGATAAGGCAATAGAAGCAGGCTATTCTCTGCTACAAAGAACTGCAGCTAGGACTGAGGGCACCTTAAATCCTGGATCCATCTCCTGGTGTAGCTGTTTTGAATGAGCTTTGGGGCACAGGGGTTTGTGTCCGACAGAAGAGTGGTCTTCTTGTGTTACTCCCTGAGCAGAGCCCAAAGCAATTACCACCGAAGAAAACAATTTTCATCCCGCTTTTCCAGGACTGAAGACTTAAAACTGCATTGCCTTCAGTCCCCACCACATGCGGCCAGCAGCGGAGGGTTACAATCATTCAAGTTCCTCAGGGCTTGAGAAGGGGGAAACTCAAGTGTCATATTCCCCATCCTTGTGCTGAAAGGCCGCCTCTGTTTACTCTCACGTCCCCAAACCCATCTTGCTGGAAAACATCAGATGCTTCACCAAGTGCAAAGTTAATTTCCAGTTCCAGTTCTTGTGGGAGCCCCTGTCCTCGCCCAGTGACAAGAAACCTTCACCTCGCCAACATTAATTCCTCTGTGCAAATAAACGTAGAACTTGAGCATTACAAGGTGAAAATTATGTTGTCTTTCAAAGCAGCTCTCTCCATTCTACTAGTTGTTCTTGTTCTTGACAACTACCAACGTCAGGGGGGCCTCTTCCTTGGAAGGCATCGTCCCTACATGGGATCTTAGAAGAGCCGCCCACACGTGGGAGGGAAGCTCCAGGGTTGTCCTGGCCTGGTCTGTTCATTTTACAGAGACTGAGGTCCTGTCAAGCCATTGCCCCAGGCCCTTTCACCAGCCACAGGCAGGACAGAGCCTGGCCCCAAGACTCTCATTTCCCAGGGAGACTCTAGTTACCATTCTTGCATTAGTTGCCAAAGTATCTCCCTTTTTTTGGTACCTGTGTGTCCTTGGGGACTCCAAATGTCATCTCAGACATCAGTTCCTCTCCTCTCTTCCCACCTCCCCTCCATCTGCCTGGCAAAATCAGTTTCTGGGAGAAGTAGTTGATGAGGTTTACTATGTAAACACCCCTGGGCATTTAATATAGGTAGAGCTCTGGAGCTAAAAGAAAGACATTGATCTAACAGAATTTCAGGCATTGAGAAGGAAGTGGGGCGGCTGGGTGTGGTGGCTCAAGCCTGTAATCCCAGCACTTTGGGAGGCCGAGACGGGCGGATCACGAGGTCAGGAGATCGAGACCATCCTGGCTAACACGGTGAAACCCCGTCTCTACTAAAAAATACAAAAAACTAGCCGGGCGAGGTGGCGGGCGCCTGTAGTCCCAGCTACTTGGGAGGCTGAGGCAGGAGAATGGCGTGAACCCGGGAGGCGGAGCTTGCAGTGAGCTGAGATCTGGTCACTGCACTCCAGCCTGGGCGACAGAGCGAGACTCCATCTCAAAAAAAAAAAAAGGAAGTGGGGCAAAGCATAGGGAAGAAATGGGCACCCCCATCAGGCCCCTGGAACTTGAACTTGCATCATGTAAAGCTCTCCCTGTTCTTCACGGACAGTTGTGCCTTTCTGGTCACTGAAATCCACATGAAATTGCCAACTTTCGCTTTATTTGCTTTGTGAAGATCAGGAAACTTAAGCCCAGAGAGAGTCGGTGACCAGTCAACAGAATACTCAGCCTGCAGGTGCTGGAGCAGAGACTCCAACCAGGACCTGACACCTTTCCACTCTGCCTCCTCCCCCTGAGTGGGCATCACAGATCCCGTCCACATGCAACAGCTCTCACTGCTGCTGGTTGCAGGTCTGCTTTGCAATCCTGGGTGGGTTTTGCCCTCCTCACCCACCCACCAGCTCTGATGTCATCTAATTCCTTTGCCGCAAATGCAAATAAATCTGGTCTCAGGATGCGCCCTCATGCAATTAGCAGGAACCAGACTACACTAAAACGCTGGGCCGACTGCTTGGTGCCGAGAGCTCCCTGAGGAGCTGCTGGTGGCAGCAGAACACCTCCATCCTTGGGGTTGCCTCCAGATCTTCCAGGCACACAGGCTGTGACAGGGCCCCCGCCCAGCTGTCTGCTGCCACATCACCACCCCCATGCCATCTGCTCAAATCCAAGGACCTCTGCCACCTCCTCCTGCAACCAACCTAGGTGCATTGGAACACGCATCCCACCTTTATTGTATACAGAATATGAAGAGGGCAAGGGAATCGTAGCTTCTGGACTGTAGCGGGGCCTCTGACAGGGTCTTTCACATGTACGCAAATGAGACGAGAGCGGGTTTCTTATGTGTATAAGGGGAGAATTCAATCAGATGGTTTGAAAATAAAGAGCCATGCCTATGGTGCAGCTGTATGGATTAGAGCAATGTCTCTAGTGGCATGCCACAGGGCTCGGTCCTCAGCCATCCTTTTAATTTCATCTTCATCTGTGCCATATATGAAAATATAGGGCAGCTTCATGGCGTGGATGACAGCAGGTTTTGAAATGGGATGGAATAACATTGGAATCTCGGCTATACCACCTGGCTGTGGGACCTCAGTGAAGTTGCCTAACCTTTCTGAATTTCCATTTCCTCTCTCACAGGGTTGTTGTGTGGATGAGATGATAAAATGTATGTGGCTGGCATACAGTAAAGAGCCACTCAGTGGCATGTAGTTTGTGTGTTGTGTTTGTGAGTAGAATGGTGTTGGAAGGAAAGGTGAGTGTGTTCTCTGCATACCAAGGCTTCCAACACATCGAGAGACTTGGATCAATGGGAAGGTCCAGTACTTAATTCCAAAAATATCAGTTGCACATGCACAAGCCGGGGTCCTCTGGCTGGCAGCAGGCTGTGTTACAGGACTGCTTTGGGTTTTTGCTGATGGTAGCTGGTGACCATCAAAAACCACCAAAAACACACAAAGCAACAAAGGCTTCTCAGAGTGGGCTCCAGTCACGGCAGGGTGGCCTCAGTCTCCCTGCCCAGTCAAGCAAGACCCCAGGAACTTGCTCATGGGAGAAGGACCATGACAAGGAAGAGACTTGACCACAAGGAGGAATGGCCGGGTGAGCTGGGGGTTCTGGCCTGCAAACCCAGAAGTCTCACAGGTTCTGGTCATTGAAGGTAGAAGATGAAGCTACCCGATTCCCTGTGGTTCCAACAGAAAACATAGCCTCAGTGTGGGGAGGCTGAGGGAGGGAAGAATCTGTGGGCAGGTGGGGCAGTCAAGAGACGGCCCAGACAGACCGGGGCACAGGAGTGAACTCCCTGCTGCTGGAGAAGGCAGGAAGGAATCTGTAGGAGAAGCAGCAACCCGGCCACCGGGATTCAAGGACTCTGACTTTTAATCAATCACCAGGGAGAGACTGAAGCTTTTCCCTGGTGTTAATTCTTGCCTCCTTGTTAAGAAGGCTAATGAGGTTGGCACAGGTCACATGATAGAATTAATTTGTCTTGCCTGGGCTCCTCAAGATTCATAGACTGAAGTGCAAATCCCTAGAGGCTAATGCCTGGCTGCCTTTTAATCAGGCTGATCAAACTTCAGCCCAAGGGGGTTTAAAAGAAAGGCAAATATTCCCAGACACATTCCTAGTCTTTTTCCAGGCAATTCAACCAGACTCCGCTAGTGTGACTGGTGCTTGTATGGAGTTTCGGGCACCTGTCCTTTCTGGGATCACACTTTCCACAATGGATTGCACAAGGGGGTCACCACACCTTACCTCTGCCTTGCAGGAGAGAGAGCCTAGTGTTTGGCAAAAGGGACTAGGGGAAGTGGAGTCCCATTTGAAAGCACTGTACAAATTATTTGAACTGCGTGTGGAGGGCTAGGCCAGTTCTGCGCAATATTCCAGGGCCTTCGTGTTAACCAGTGGGTTCCCAGGAAGGCTGCCACACAAGCCCACAAACAACTGCCCAGGCAGTGTGGCTGCAGCACACGCAGTAGGAAGGGAGGCTCAGGAAGACCCCTAAGGAGCAGGTATTCAATCTGGCCTCAGAAGATGAAATTCAGTAGGCGAGAAGCGTTGGAACCAAAATCCTCGTTCTGAAGTCATTTTATGGAAGCAGCTGCTTTGGCTTGAAATGGCAAAGCCCTGGGACCCCTCCCTACCCAGTGCTTTGATGAGGGCCAGGCCATCATGTACTGCCACCTCCCTATCCCTTCATCTAGCCCTGGACAGTAGCTGCCTGCCTTGCTGTAAAGGAAAGGCCACGTTTATACCAAAAGCCAGAATCCATCTGCAGGAGGCAAAGGGAAGTGGGGAGCCCCTGGGATGAGGATCTCTGAGGGCGGCTTTCCCTGTTAAGCAGAACATCTGACCGTCTCACTCCTGGCTGTGTCCAGGAGGTGGATGGGCTTGAAATCAATCCCGCTTGCTGCATATCTGATTTCCTAGAGCCCACTCGCCAGGCGAGGAGACATCGTCAGCGCTGCAGCCGGGGATCGCCATGGAGACCAGAGGACTGGCTGAGTCCGGGCAGGGCTCCTTCACCGGCCAGGAGCTTGCCAGGTAACCGACCGGCTTCAGTCCCTACCTTGGCCTGGGGGACGCTGTGGCAGGAAGAAGGTAGTGACCTCTCCAGAAGAAGGGCTAGATGGGGGTGGAGCTGAAGATCTGGAAAAGAAAGGGTCCGGAGCAGAGCAGCCTGAAAACTCTCAGTGAGTCATTTCCTCTTGGGTCAGCTGTTCTGAGTTCAGAAAAGTCTTAGGAAAACTGCCTTTATCTGAAATTGCTTAATGAAAACTGACATTGAGGTGCTTGCTCAGGTTTGGAAGATTTCAGAGCAAAAGCCAACCGGAGAAGGTGGTAAGAGCAGCCAGGCGTGGGAGAGCTTGGATTCGGTGGACGCGGTGGTGTGCTGAGGGTGATGGCGATGAGGTCTGAAATAGCGCTGGCAGGGTCTCCCGAGTGCTCGTCTGGGCCCCAGGGCAGGTGTCCCTGCAAAAGCATTTGTTTGCAAGATTAGTAAGACTCCAAGCTCTGCCTCCCTCTGATAACATCCGTACTCCAGCTTCAACAGCTGCCCCATCCTGAGGAAGTCATTTCGCCTTTTCAATTCTCCTCTAAAAATGCATCTGACAGTACCTACCCCACAGGTGGCTTGAAAGCTGCTTCAGAGCCAAGCACCGACTCACCGCAGGTGCCCAGCAAATACCAGGTTCATTATTTCCCTCCACCACGTGGTTGTTTCCAACGCCAGAGTTCTACATAGTCATATGTTCTACACTTTTTACTTCAGATTATCGCAAAAGAAATTCACGTTATCTATTTATTCTTCATGCTTTTCATTATGAAGTCTACTACTGCTCCACCGTTGTTTATTAACTAGTCCATTGTAGCTGGGCATGTAAGTGATGTTCAGTGTTCGCATTTTACTAATAAACAGCTGTCTTAAGGTTCTTTGTTCATAAAGGGAAAAAGAGAACACCTGTAAGTCAGCTCTGCAGGGCTGACACAGGGTGTGTTGTAAGCTAGCAACACAAGCTATCTCAGGGAAACAGAGCCCGTGGGGCTCGCAGAAGGGGACCTGAGGAAGTAGCCACCTTCCCCCTCCCATTGTCTCATGGAGTTTCATGGTCTTTGTGCTTCTTTCTGCATGTCCCCTCCGTTCTGGCTCTTTCTGTTCCCATATCAGCCGGCACAAGGCTGAAAACAGTCTTTCTCATGTGACCTTGAGTTGAAACACCCAACCCCGTCTTCAAGAGGCTGTCAGTTCAGAGGCCTGAGTGGCTCTGTGTGCATCCGTCGTCTGTCCTAGTCCCACTGTCTGAGGCTGGAGGAGGAAGTATGACCTTTGTTCCACCCTCTCGGCAGAGGAAGGGTGTGGGTGCAGGAATTGTCTGCAGCAGAGAGGCAGGGCTGGGCAGATACCTCCACATATGTCTGCGGCAGCAGCTGTAAGCATCTGCCTACAGGGATATTTTCTTAGTCAGTGTATTCCCTTAGGCTAAGGTCATAAGTGTGTGATTAGGGTCAAGGTATGTGACAATTCGTGGCTTAGTTCCAGGTTGTTCAGTACCAACTGGCTGGGGACACCCCGTCCAGGCGAGGGCACTGCAGATGCCAAATCAGGGATTTGGCAAATCAGGGAAACCAGAAGCCGAGAAACAGAATGGAGTCTCCGGGCCTGTCACCCGCTGTTCCCCTCTGGCAGAGACACCGGCAGCAGCAGGCAGGGTGGAGGGAAGGCACCTCTCAGGCCCGTGCGACTCAGATGAGCTCTGGGGGCTGGTACTACGGTCGCAGGTGTTGTTACTGCAAGCTCCAGGCAGGGCCGGCTCCGGGAGGGGGCCGAGGGCAAGTTGCAGAGGAACCTCCCAGGCCTGGGGAGAAAACTCTAGTTTGTACAAGAACACACCAATAAGATAAAAGCTTGGAAAAGACTCCAGGCTGTGCCTGGATGCCTGTTCCTTTAAGCCTTGCTCTATCAGATCTCAGGAACTTCCAAATAAATAAATAAATAACCTTGCTCTCGATGTTGTTCTCATTTGAAACCCGCATTGCTTTACTCTTCCTGTGCTTGGCAGTCATTACAAAGAGCTCTCCACTGGGCAAAAGGAGTGAGATAATTGCCCGTTTGAAGGATCATGCCTTAGGCAGAGTCCAAGTGCTACAGGGACAAATGGTAATAGAGTGTCCCTTTCAGGGGAAGCCTGCCCCTGACTGCAGGGTGGAGGGAGAAGGGGATACACGGTCCCCATGGGACGGAGATGCAAACGAAGACCACAGGGCCCCCAGCACCCACGCCCTGCTGGCCATCACTGCTTCTGCCCCACCCCTCGAGACAGAGAGAGAGAGAGGGAGAAAGAGAGGGAAAGACTGGGGGTTGGAGGTGTGGGGGGCTTTTCCTCTCCCTCTGGCTCAGTGCCTGTGTCGCCTTCCAGGCTCTCGCGCCTCATCTTCTTGCTGCGCAGGTGGGCTGTCAGGCACGTGCACCACCAGGACCAGGGACCGCACTCTTTTCCTGATCGTTCCCGTGGAGCTGAGCTTAAGGAGGTGTCCAGCCAAGAAAGCAATGCCCAGGCAAACGTGGGCAGCCAGGAGCCAGCAGACAGAGGGAGAAGGTAAGGAGCGGAAAAGAAGAAGGGGCCTCCTGTGCCTTCTGGGGCCAGGCAGGAAGCCTCTGCTTTGCTCCATCCTGTTTGGATGCAGCACAGGTGGCCTGGAATGTTGTCCCCGTGAGCTGTTCCTTGAAGAAAGTGTTTGCCCTTAGGGGAGCATTACATGCTCTAACAGCCTCTGTGGAGTCCAGGAGGCCTTGCAGGAGGAGAAAACCCTTGAACCAGAGCCCCCAGCCTCATTTGACCACTCACCTCATCCTACACAGAACCCCCATTAGGGTCCCCTGGAAATCGTGTTCTCAGAAACTCACCGGGGGATGCTGGCCTTACCCATCTCTCTTCACCAAAGGACTCGCATCCTAGACTCACTATGACCCATCTTGCTCAAAAGCGGGGTCTTTTATAGCAGGAGTTTTGGGGGGTGTCTAAATGGTATCCACAATGTTATGTGTAGGCATGCATGCATTTTTATGGGACGAGAGTCTACAGGTTGGTCAGAATTTTCAAGGGGAGCCATCCGTGTCCCAGATCAGGTTGAGAAATACCAGGTGGGGAAGGGACAATGGTGGGAGCAGAGTGAGGTGGGTAGGGTGTTTGCTTTCTGGAGGGAAAATCTGCATAACTGGGGCCTCTGCGCACCGTCTTGCATCGCCCCCACCCTAACTGGGAGATAGATCTGACTGGCACCCCCTTACACACAGACACAGGGCTGCTGCCTCCCCTCCTGACTTGTTCGTGAGAAGTCTCCCCAGCAGGTGGTCTGCAGAGAGACCCCTGGGTCAGCAAAGGTTGAATCAATTGTCACTGAACAGTAGAGCATCTCTTTAGGACACTGGTCTGTCCTGGAAGGGAGGAGAGGTAAGACGTGGAGGGGAAGTTGACCTCCCCTCAGTCTCCCAAACAGGTGGATTCTCACCCAGAACCTATTTTCTAGGGGGTGGGAAAAGGGGATCAAATAAGCATGATGATTGCAGAATAGTCCCTATATAATTTGCTAGAGAAAAAGCTATCTGTTTGTATGTCAATGAGGAGAAGATGGGTTCAGGTTTGGAGCTTCTCAAATGGGCATATGAGGGTCTCTGGGGTGTGAAGGTGATGAAGTCTCGGGGGAAACCCAATGGATCTTTCCGGAACATCCATTTTCATTCCACATTTGTGTGGGGAGTGGCAGTGGGTATTTGTATGTCATACATGATGCAGGGGACGGCAAAGAGCAAGGGCATTTTTAAGATGGAATGTGAGAGTTCAAGGCCACATCTCACCAGTGACTGCTTTAGGAGACCCAGGGAAAGGTGTGAGAATCCCTGCCGGGAAGGGCAGTTTTCACACGAGCTTGGACTGCAAACCCTTGGGTTTCCTGGGCTGTGGGAAGGAGGCTGGGGAAGGCCTGGGCACTGGCCCAGACAAGTGCAGGGAGGTCCCAGGTTCCCAGGACTGGGCATCCAGTACCCTTGGGGGACACCATAGACAGAAAGACAAGGAGACAGACAGATAAGAAAGAGGACAAAGTGGAGAAAGAGGAAGAGGGAGGAGGGACACAGAGGCTTCTCAGCAAGCCAGCCAGACCGGTCTAATTCCTTTTGGACAAGCAAAGACTTCCTTATTTAAATTGACCAAATTACCTTCCTACATCCTTAGAGATGAACGTTAGACTCTCTGTCTGTTTCTGGATGGGACCAGAGGAATGGAGCGTTGAGCTAGGACCACATCCAGGGCAGGCCCCGCCCACCTCACAGACACTTGTTGGATCACTCGCGGGCAGGGTCAGCACAGGCAGATGGACGCGATGGTGCAGATAGTGTCAGTCAACTAGCAAGGCTTCCTGGGGTGAGGATTTTGAATTTTTCTGGAGGCAAAGTCTCCACGGCAAAGCCAAGTATATACAGAGACAGGTCCTAGTTCTCCTGTGTGGGCTTGGCTTTGTGGGGTTACGGGCACAGAGGCGTGGTGAACACAGCCACTGCACCCCCACAGAGCTGAACCTTCTCTCCTTCGCAATCCCACGGCTGTTCCAATTCCTGGGAGATTTTCAGATGAGCAGAGCCAATCCAGAAATAAGCGGTTATGGCCATATCTTAGACGGGGAGAGGGAGATTTGGGCAGGAGGAGCTAAGGTCATCAAAATGGCATTTATTTGGCTCGACATCCAGCATCATGGAAGAGGCGTCCCGGGCGTCAGTGGGGATGTCACCTGCCTCAAGCTCCAGTTCTCGTGGTCTCCTATGAGGGGTCTGCAGTGCCCTGCAAGACCGCCTGGTGTTTTTAACCCAGCCATGTTGAAAATGGGTTCTGGCGGTCAGAGATAACACCTTTTGCTATAGAACATCGTGAAGTACTGCAAAATTCAACTTTAAATAAATATCCAGTTTGTGCAAAACCAGCCCTTACCTTCAACCAGATTCTCACACAGACCAGGGGTGTCAGGCCCTGGAGTTGTAAGATTTGGGGAGGTAGGAGAGGACAGGAGGAGGATAAGCTGAAAACAGCGACAATCCTGCCTATGCTCAGTTACTCGTCCTGCTAATTGGAAGAGGCCTTTGCAGCTGAGGGAGCAAGTCGCTGTTGCTGCTGCTGCAGGCTGCGTCCATCCCGGGGCAGAAGGTGAAAGACCTCCTCCACCCAAGAGGCAGGGAAGCGCTGAGGGCAGAGGCCACGTGGGGTCCATTTCTGTGCCCCTCTCAGTGCCCAGCACGTGGCCCCATCCAGGGCGGAATGGAAGGAAATTGAGTGGAATTTGAGGCAGGGAAGCTGGAAGGAGTCAAATGGCTGAATCTTCATTTCTTCAGAAGCCTCGGTTTAGCCATGTTCACCCTCCCTTCCCCCAAGCCTTTTATCTGAGCTAACCAATCACAAAGCATTTTGGCCTTGACAATACCACCCCGTATTCTTCAAGCTGTGAGTGCAAAGGCTGGAAGCAGTGGGATGGGGTGGGGGTTGGGGGGGGGGGGCATGGTAATCCCCTGGGGAAATGGCCCCAAGGAATGGAAACGAAGTTCAGACCCTTGATGTTCTCTCTACCTCCCCGCAGTGCCTGGCCCCTGGCCAAACGCAACACTAACACCAGCAACAACACGGAGGAGGAGTAAGTACCCACACGCCCTGCAGAGCCCTTCCCAAGCCTGGTGCCCTCCACCCCATAGAAGCCCCAGCTTGGCCTCGCTCCTTAGTGCTCCAGCTCCCCACTCCCAGAACACCAGTAGAATATTTTAGAATCCTGTTCCTTTAGTTGGAACTCCATCCCTGAGGACAGAAGTGGGGGAGGGATGAGATCTGTGTGACTTCTTGGGGAAGTCGTCTGATCTCTTTGGCTCTCATTTTTCTCATCTATAAAGCAAAGGAATTGAATCAGATAAATGCTTTAAGCTGTAGCATCTATACCCCGATATATCTGAGGGTGCAGAACCGGAGTTCCTTGACAGAGCAGTGGAGATTCTCCTTAATGATGAAAAGGCATTTTCTTATTCTACAACCTCAGGCTCTTGAGTGCCAGTGAAATGTCCTTGTTTTTTTTTGTTGTTGTTGTTTTGTTTTTTGTTTTTTGTTTTTGAGATGGAGTCTCACTCTGTTGCCCAGGCTGGAGTGCAGTGGCATGATCTTGGCTCACTGCAAGCTCCGCCTCCCAGGTTCATGCCATTCTCCTGCCTCAGTCTCCCGAGTAGCTGGGACTACAGGTGCCCAGCCACTGTGCCCGGCTAGTTGTTTTGTATTTTTAGTAGAGATGGGGTTTCACCATGTTAGCCAGGATGGTCTTGATTTCCTGACCTCGTGATCCGCCCGCCTCAGCCTCCCAAAGTACTGGGATTACAGGCATGAGGTACCATGCCTGGCCTGAAATGCCCTTGTTTTAAGGCCAATTTGGGCCAATTTTAGGGGGATAATCAGAGCAGTGGAAATAAGGCAATTTAAATATGTTCAGAGAATAGCCTCTTGAAAGGGTGGCCTGCTGTAATTCCTTTTTCCGTCACCAGATACTAAGGTGGCAGATTAGGGACAGAGTGGCACTATTGGGGAGGGGGAGTCTTCCTTGGAGATTAGGGAAAAAATATCAGTATCAGTGAGAAATGCCGATTTCTTGACTTCCAACTGACAGAGAAATGTGTGAAGGGTTTTTCTTGCTATTTCTCTCTTTGTTCCTCAGATAGAACTTTTTTCTATTTTCTCCATGAAGGAAGCATGTCTTTTGTTTGCATAAATCTGGACATCAAATCCAGAGACCAAACACCATCCATAAAGAAAAATGAGATGATTTTCTCTACAAAGCAATAGCTACAGTGATCTGTGTTAGACTTAAAGCCAACCCTTGCAGCCCAGGCTTTCAGGCAGGGAGAGGCTCCAGATACTGAAACCATGGACAGAGGTCCTGGGGGTTTCTAGACATCTTTGTCCTGGGGCTGGGGTGTGGGCAAGGATGTGGGTGGATAGCATGGGCTGCATCCAGCTCTTCAATCTTTCAATAAATGGGCTCACTTCACGGGTCCACTTCGAAGCCAAGGACCAAGGGACAAAACTGGGAACTGTCCCAAAATGAGGACAACTGGCACACACAAAAATTATTTATGAACACCTTCCCTGATTCTTCCACTCCGTTTCTGTCATTTTCATATGGTCTCTTTTGTCCTGAATAATTTTCCCTCCCCCATCAAACTGTTCCCAGCCAAAATCGGTAGCATTTTGCAGCTCTGTGTAGGGTTCTTTTGGGGCAGTGCTGGGTGGATTTGGGGATGCAGCCCATGGTGCCAGGTCTTTCCTAGGCCCTCGGCAGTTTGGTAGCCAGAGGACAGGCCAAGGCCCGTACTCCAGGGCCACAAATCTTGCACAAGGCAAGCTGAGTCCGGTCTGGTTAAACTGCAGGGCAAAGCTCACCCAATAAGCTTGAGGGCAGCGCCGTCTGCTGGTCACTTGACGTTAAGACTCCAGTGGCTGAAAAGAGACCGGGATTCACATCACCCTGGAGGCCAGAGGAGGGGTAACTTTCCTTGCTCTTTTCATTTAATGATTTTAATCACCTTTTATTCTAATTCACTTTATTGAAATACTCTTGCTGAAAACTTGGAAGGCAAGAAAAGCACACAGGGGCATACACACACAAAAATCGCACTTCATGCTAACCGTGGAATTCCACTCTCAGAGAGAGCCCCACTTAACATGTTGACAGATACACTTCCAACTTCTTCCTGAGCATATATATCGAATAAAGAGATCGATACAATATGTTTTATATATACATATGCGTGTTAAGAGCATCTGTTTCCCAACTCAGTTGCCTCAGAGCTTTGTGACCTTGGACAAGTGTATGAGTCCATTCTCACATGGCTATAAAGAAATGCCTGAGACTCGGTAATTTATCGGAAAAGTGGTTTAATTGGCTTGAGGTACTGCAAGCTGTGCAGGAAGCACAGCAGCTTCTGCTTCTGCGCAGGCCTCAGGAAGCTTTCAATCATGGCGAAGGCAAAGCGGGAGCAAGGAGTCTCACAGGGCAGGAGCAGAAGGAAGGTGGGGTAGGTGTTTTAAACAACCAGATCTCAAGAGAACTCACTCACTATCTCAAGCAAAGCACCAAGGGGTTGGTGCTAAACCATGAGACATCCACCACCATGACAGGAACACAGATTCAAACCATATAAGCCGGTTACCTAACTTCTCTGTGTGTCTGTTTCCTGGCTTATAAAATGAGGATTGTAATAGTGTCTTATTACAGGGTGGGAGTGAAGACTAAATGTGTTACTCTGTGTAAAGTGCTCAGAACAGTGCCTGGTACATAGTAAGTGCTCAATAAATATTGGCTTGTGTGGTAGGCAGAACAATCTCCCTCAAAAGATGTCTACCATCCTAATCCTTAGAACCTGTAAACAGGTTACCTTACATGGCAAAGGGGACTTTGTAAATGTGATTAAATTCAAGGTCCTTGAGATAGGTAACGATTTGACTCAGCTGTGTCCCCACCCAAATCTCATCTTGAATTGTGGCTCCTCTAATTCCCATGTGTGGTGGGACAGATCTGGTGGGAGGTAATTGAATCGTGGGGGCGGGTCTTCCCCATGCTGTAAATAAGTCTCACGAGATCTGATGGTTTTATAAAGGGGGGTTCCCCTGCACAGACTCTTTGCCTGCCACCACAAAAGATGTGACTTTGCTCCTCATCTGCCTTCCGCCATGATTGTGAGGCCTCCCAAGCCATATGGAACTGTGAGTCCAAACCTCTTTCCTTTATAAATTACCCACTCTTGGGTATGTCTTAATTAGCAGCATGAGAATAGACTAACACAGGTAGGTTATCCTGGATTATCAGGGTGGGCCCAATGTAATCACATGAGTCCTTAAAAGCAGAAGAGTGGGCCGGAAAAAGTAAATGGAAGAAGAAGAGAGTCACAGTGTGAGGGAGACTGGACCCATCGCTGCTGGCTTTGAAGATGGAGGAAAGGGACCCGAGCTAAGGAAGCCACAGCCTCGAAAGGTGCAGCCAGCAGGGAAACAGGGACCTCAGCCCTGCAATCGCAAGAAGCTGGATTCTGTTCAAGATCCAAATGAGCAGGAATCAGAGCCCCGCTAGAGCCTCTGGGGGATGGCAGCCCTGTCAACACCTTGATTTTAGTCTGGTGAGATCCACAGCAGACTTCTGACCTACAGATCTGCAAGATAAGACATTTATGTTGCGTCACTTTGCAGTAATCTGTTCCGGCAGAAATAGAAAACTGATCCAGCTATTATGATAAACTCTTTGTAGTCTGCTTTTTAACTTAGAGCTGTTTGCCCATGTCTTCTGAAACAGCGTTTTAAATGGCCACATAGAATTCACCGTTGTGGATGAGCCTGTACGGTGGTGTGATTCGGTGGCTCTCCCTTTTTGACTGTCATGAATAATGGCGGTAATTATTTTTCCACATGCATTGCACACAGCCTTGATTATTTCCATAGGAAGTGTTAGGTAATTGTGGATGGATCTTTTTCAATGAGTGTCTAATTAGCAGAATTTATCTCTCAACCCATGCCTTCCTTCAGCGTGTGGGAGAGAGAAATCAGAGGGACCCAAAGGGGACTCCAGGCCTTGTCCCTTCTGCAACCTTTGTTTCCTCAACTATTCAATGGGGCATCACTGCCTGCCTTGAAGAAATGTTACATGTATTCATTAGTTAACTTTATAAGAGTTCCTAGCCCTTAAAAGACACCCAGTAAAGAAGAGGGAGCAGTGTAAAGCCATATGTTGAAGAAAACCCTGCACTCACAGGACCGTCCTGCGGGCACTGCCGGAACTACCCCGCAGCCAAGCAAAGTCTGAAGGCGTGTCTGAACCCTGCCACATTTGCCAGCCTGCGACGACACGTATTTGCCACTACACGCGTCACAGACCCGCCTCTTCGAATTTTGGTTCCCTTTTGCTCACTGGCTTTCTCATGAAGGCCCAGGTTTTCATCGGATCCAGAGACAGGTTTCAAGAACAACGGACAGGCCATACCCTTCCATTCAGTACAGAGAGCCTGGAGTGGGATTTCCAAAACTCCCAGTAACTTTCCCAACCTCATTGTGTGGGTTCGGGTCTCTGTCCTCCTACCTCAAAACGTCTCCAGTCTCTGGCTGTTTGTGACTTCCCAGGAGCTCACGAAAATAGATCAGAAATTGTAGAACATTAGACTGAGCCATTAATTTCTCAGTGTATGCTGAATGGGGTGGTTTACCTCGTGCTTCAGGAATAATAATAGCAAATCAATAACCCCATTCCATCCCAACTTGCTGTACCCATTTGCCACGCCCCCTCTCCACGGAGCCGCACGCCACGCCCTTTCTCCACTGCGCTGCATGCCACGCCCCCTCCCCACGACACCGCACGCCACGCCCTCTCTCCAGGACGCCGCACGCCGCGCCCTCTCTCCAGGACGCCGCACGCCACGCCCTCTCTCCAGGACGCCGCACGCCGCGCCCCCTCTCCACGGCGCCGCACGCCACGTCGCATCTCCACAGCGCCGCACGCCATGCCGTTTCTCCACGACGCCGCACGCCACGCCCTCTCTCCACGACGCCGCACGCCACGCCCTCTCTCCACGACGCCGCACGCCGCGCCCTCTCTTCATCACTCCGCAGCCTGCCCTTTCCACTTGGTAATGTCGTTGATTGGTAATGTCGTTGATATATGAACACTGCTCAGTGTCCCTCGGCATCATCCAGCAACAAGGCAGAAAAGAAGGAAGAGAAGAAAAGAAGAGAGAAAAAACTACCTAAAACAAGAAGAGGAAATACTGAAGGAAGCTGCCTCTAAGGACGGGGTGCCATGGTCCCAGCAGGCCTGACCCCTCCTCCCTGCAGGGCTCCAGGGCTGGGTGTCTTGGAGCAACGCTATCAGGGGCCTTAGCGTCGGCCCTGGAGGGGAGGGGGTGCTTGGAGCGGAGGAAAAGTCTGCCCCAGGCTGCAGACCATGCCTCCTGAGGCCATGTGAAGCCCCCGTCTTGCAGAAGGAATCCTCTCCGAGCTCTGAGAACTCAAGGCGGGCTTACAAGTAAAGAGAGTTGCTCGTCTGCAGCCTCGGGTGGGCAGCCGGGGGCTGTCCCTGTGAGCCTGCTCATGTGACCCCCCCACTCGAAGCATTTCGTTTGCCCTCACAAGTGGACCACACAGTCAGGGTAGGCTGAGGGTTTCTCTGGGGCACTGGAAGATACAATGTTCACAAACTTTCACCCAGATTCAGTGGTGATGAGAGCTGTTGGGAACGCCCCAAAGCCCCGTCGGTGAGTGACCTCGCACTGCAGCATCCCGGTGAAGGCAGGAAGTCCCTGGGGTCTCCGATGGGACACGGGAGCACTCTGCAAGCCTAGGCCAGCGTGGGTCACATGGGACGACAGAGGGGACACATGGACCCAACGAAAAGGAAGTCTCCAGTACAGCCTGTAAACTTGAATCTGCGGGAAAGTCTAAGAATAAAAGCTAAGTCCTCTAAGCGATGTTTTTCATTCAGTGCGGGCCCACATAACAGGTTATTCCCAGGCTTTTGATGGAGAGGCGCGATGCAAGCCCTTGGAAATGAGCCTTTACAACGTCCGCGCAAACACAGTGAGGGAGGTGGAGAGGGTTCTCCAGGGAATACTGTGGGGCTCCCCAACTCTATCCAGAGAGGAGCTGCCTCAGAACTATCTAGGCAATGCTTAAATGCACATTCCCAGGCCCAGCCCTGGAAGAGGTGAGTGGGCCCCGGGAATCAGCATTTTCTGGAAGTTCCCCAGACTTCAGCAGACCTCTGTGACATTGCCATGCTGCATTTTCATTCTCAGCATCCTGAAGGGTGTGGATGTTGCCATGGGCACATGGGAATGTCCACCATGACCTTATAGTCAACTGTGACTTCCTGGGACTGAACTGGGAGAAAAGGACTTCTGGAGTCTACCCTACCTCTCGGCCTGTCTTCCCCTACAGGGACTCTCCATGTGACTCCCTTGATAACTAAGAGGACCCTGTTGTGGACAGCCACATCTTGGGCTTCAGCCTAAAATGGCCGTAGAGTCTCTAAGGGAATCCAGGTCTCTCAAACCCTCCAAAGCTACAGTCTTGAAACACGGTGCACTGTTTGTGTGTGTGTGGGTTTCCAGGAAGAAGACGAAGAAGAAGGATGCGATCGTGGTGGACCCCTCCAGCAACCTGTACTACCGCTGGCTGACCGTCATCGCCCTGCCTGTCTTCTATAACTGGTGTCTGCTTATTTGCAGGTGAGCAGCAGGGGGTGGGAGATGCAGTGGAAAGGAGGGAACGAGGCACCAGGCCAAGGAGGCAGAGCTCCAACTCTCACTCAGGAGGCCTGAGGCCTGGACCCCTCACGGCCACCACTTAGTTCTTGTGCCTCAGTTTCTCCCTTTAAAAATAGAAGGTTCCCCAAGAGGACCATCAGGGTGCTCTGAAGCATGGGTGGAGAACTGAGCTTAAGGTGGACAGTCAGGGTTCCGGCACTGTGGGGTCCCCTCAAGTGAGTTGTACGAGGAGGATGCAGGGGCGGTTGCTTCTCTTTGGAGGGATAAGTGGGTGGTTCTGAATGTGCTGCAGGGTGGGGAGGCAGGGACAAGCTGCTACTTTTTTTTTTTTTTTTTTTTGAGACAGAGTCTTACTCTGTCACCCAGGCTGGAGTTCAGTGGCGCAATCTCAGCTAACTGCAACCTCCACCTCCCGGGTTAAAGCAATTCTCCTGCATCAGCCTCCCGAGTAGCTGTGACTACATACATGAGCCACCACGCCCGGCTTATATATATATATATATATATGGCAGGAGGCTTTGGGGTGCTGAGCAAGCTGCAGAGGGGCGGCAGGGGCAGGCTGCTGTGCCCGTGAGGCTAGGAGAAGAGCTGAGGGTGCTGCCTGTGTGGGAAACAGCAGAAAGATGGAGAAGGTAGAAAATATTTACTGCCTGTTCCATTGTTAATCTCTCAGAAATTCTCTTATTTTTCGTTGAAATTTGACCCCAGAAAGGGCAGGTCCTTAGCCCCTTTACCTGACTTTGCCAGTGAGGCCTGGAAAACAGTACCTCCTGGGATCTTGTAGCTCTCTGCTGAGACGCAATGGGGCCGCTCTTTGGGGTCAGTCCTGGCTCCTCTCAGGAGTTCTGTGACTGTGGGACAGAAAAGCTTCTCAGAGACAGTGGTGCCTCATCGGAAGCTGGGGTGATTATGCTGAGGTAGTGACACCGCAGGCAGGGCCATTCCCAGATGACATGATCCAGCGTCTTCAGCACAGAGCCGGTGCCCACACACGGGTGGACCGTGCTCCAGAAACACGCACAGCCATCCGTCTCCCAATTGGCGTCTTTAGGGCCTGCTTCGATGAGCTGCAGTCCGAGTACCTGATGCTGTGGCTGTTCCTGGACTACTCGGCAGATGTCCTGTATGCCTTGGATGCGCTCGTGCGAGCTCGGACAGGTGAGTGTGCCCCAGGCCTGGGGAGGGGACCATGGCGCCCACAGGCGTGTTCCGGGAGACCCAGCACAGTGGATTGGACGTTGCTGACCTTTGACCATGAGAGGCCAGGCAGGTCTGGGGACCTACGACCGTGAGGGTAGGTGGTGCGGCCTCAAGCCCCTCTACATGGAACCCTTGGACAGGACACTGAGCAGGAGCCAGGACACCTAAGCTCTGGGCTCTGCCCTTCCGACAAGCTGTGTAACCTTGAGCAAGTCAGGCTGTCTCTCTGGGCCTTCTTTTTGTCACCGCTGAAATAAGCAGGCTGGGCCAGGCGCAGTGGCTCACATCTGTAATCCCAGGATTTTAGGAGGCCAAGGTGGGCAGATTACTGGAGGTCAGGAGTTCAAGACCAGCCTGGCCAACATGGTGAAACCCCATCTCTACTAAAAATACAAAAATTAGCTGGGCCTGCTGACATGTGCCTGTAATCCCAGCTACTTGAGAGGCTGAGGCAGGAGAATCGCTTGAACTCCGGGAGGTGGAGGTTGTAACGAGTGGAGATCATGCCACTGCACTCCAACCCGGGCGACACAGCAACACTCTGTCAAAAAAAAAAAAAAAAAAAAAGAAAGAAGCAGGCCCAACTGCAATCTCGAAGGACCCCTCCAGCTCTCACTACTCGACACTGGGGTGAGCAGGACGGAGAGCTCAGGCAATCTTGGAGTTTCTCTTCTCAGACAGTCAGAGGATCCAGGACATGTTACTCCGTGGCTTTCAGAGGAGTTTTAACATGTGGAGAATGAAAATCTGAAATAGGGCCCCGGTGAATGAGGACTTCCTTCACATCATCTCTGGTTGGGGATGGGAAAGGATACTCACCCCTCACATTTCTTAGGTGCTGAACTGTGTGCGCTTGGGACGTCTTTTTCTAATCTGCACAAAGACATTGCCTAAGCTGGTAGAGGCCCTGTTTCCAAGATTTTTGAACTAAAAACTGTGCCAGGCCAGGCATGGGTGCAGGCACCTGTAATCCCAGCACTTTGAGAGGCCAAGACAGAAGGGTCATTTGAGGCCAGGAGTTCCAGACTAGCCAAGGCAACATAGCAAGACCTTGTCTCTACAAAAAGAAAAAATTAGCTGGGCGTGCTGGTATGTGCCTCAGGAGGCTGAGGTGAGAGGATTGCTTGAGTCCAGGAGGTCAAGACTAAAGGGAGTCATGGCCTCGGGTTACAGAGCAAGACCTTGTCTCAAAAAAAAAAAAAAAAAAAAAAAAAGATAAAATAAAATAATGCTATGCCATAGGTGTTGATGCAAAGACCAGCAGATCACAGTAGCCAACCTCTGTGTGGCTCCATGTACAAAATATTTCAAGCGCGTCTGGCATCTTCTTTAGAACCACTGCATGAGACAAGAAGCACAGGCATGATCACCTCCCATCTTGCTGATTTAGAAACCAATGTCAGAGACACCAAGTGACTTGTCCAAAGTCCACAGTCGCTGCCCAGCCATGCCAGACTGGTCCACCGTTTGCTTCCACACTGGTGCCTAGCATCATAACTTAGAAGACCTCAGATACACAGGCTGAGGCTTGCATGGGTGACCTAGCCAGCCCTGGCCATCTGCTCCCCTACTGCAGTCATGTTAAACTCCATAGACACACGAGCTCTGTAAGTGGCCCATTGGGCTGATGTTCCCTGGTCTCAGCCCAGCTTCAGTGGGATGAGACACCCTGACTCAGACATTAACCCTATGCCTTCTTGTGCTTGGGTAGTATCCTAAGCAACTCAAGATTCAGCAGGAAGCTGGGAGAGAGGGAGGCACAGGAATCACACCCCAAGGAAAACATCATTAGAATTGTGAGACGACATCTTAAAGAAGTGGGGAGGAGGCTGGAGGCACAGGAGGCTACATAATGATCGAGGCCCTCAGTAACTCATGTATAACAAATAATGCTAAGAAGAACTGGGGGCTGGGAAGCAGGGTGTTCTTCATTGTGACGGCACAGTAGATTTTCAGTTTGAGCAGAGTGGGACGTCCTACCCCAGTCTAGCCTCAGTGGCCTGGACCCGCAGCCCTAGCATCACCTGGAACTTGCTGGACTTGCCCCCAACTTCCAGGAGCCAACTCTGGGTTGCAGGCTGGCACTCTGCGTTTCACACAGCCCTCGGGGAAATACTGATGCTCACCACAACTTTAAAAGGACTAATTCTATCATTCTCTCTACTTTTGTGCATGTTTGAAAATGTAAAAAACAAAAAAGAATGTGGGTCATGGCCTCCTTAATTGATTTCACCCATTATAATGCCCCTGGCTCTAGGTGTCCACCCCATCTCCAGACCAGTCAGATTCTTTGGGGGTGGGTCCCGAACTTCATATGTTTTTAATGCCCCTTGGGTAACAGTCACATGCAACCAAGGACAGCTGTGTTCCTGCGAGGTGTTTTCAAAAGGCAGGTTGTGCCCCATTGCTGACTGGTGAAATCAGTTTGGGAGGCCATGGCCTGTGTTTTTTTAATTTTTATTATTAATATTTTCAAATGTATGCAAAAGCAGAGAGAATAGTGTTATGAATCCCCATGTACCCTCACCCAGCTCCAGCTGTTATCAACATTCTGCCCATCTTGTTTCATTTGCTCCTTTTCTTGTTTCATCCACCCTTTTCTTGTTTCATTTTCCTGTTTTTGTTTTTGCTTTTTTGTTTCATCCACCCTTTTCTTGTTTCATTTTCCTGTTTTTGTTTTTGCTTTTTTGTTTCATCCACTCTTTTCTTGTTTCATTTTCCTGTTTTTGTTTTTGCTTTTTTGTTTCATCCACCCTTTTCTTGGCTGGTGTAAGCAAACCCCAGGCAGTAAGCACTTTAGCGTTTTGAATAGAAATAGAATATCTCGGGAAGTCAAACTCACTGTGCCAAAGGGAAGAGTTACGCTTGGGAACTGAGTCATGCAAAAGCTGCCTTCCTTTTCTTCCCAAACAGATAGCTGTAATTTCACATGCTTACTTTATCTTATGTAAAATGTAGTTTGCATAATGTACTTTTCCTCCTCTCCCCTCTTTTCACATGTAGATTCACTGAGTGCTAATCAAAGCCTCACAAGAATGTAACTACTGGCCTCATTGCCTACCCACCCTTTCTTTTCTTTCTTCTTTCCTGTCCTGCCTGCTGCCTGCTCTGTTCCCTTTAAGTATTGACATCCTCAAAATCCTCTTTGGAAAAAGCACAGGCCACAGATCCTACTGTGACTTGTGTTTCTTTCTCCTAGGTGTACTTTCAACCTTGGTAAAATAAACCTCTAAATTAATTGAGATCGCCTCCATCACTTTTCTTTTTTTTTTTTTTTTTAAGACTCAGAGTCTCACTCTGTTGCCCAGGCTAGAGTGCAGTAGTGCGATCTTGGCTCACTGCACCCTCTGCCTCCTGGGTTCAAGTGGTTCTCATGCCTCAGCTTCCCGAGTAGCTGGGATTACAGGGGTGCGCCACCACATCTGGCTAATTTTTGTATTTTTAGTAGAGACAGGGTTTCACCATGTTGCCCAGGCTGGTCTCGAACCTCTGACCTCAGGTGATCCACCCGCCTCAGCCTCTCAAAGTACTGGGATTATAGGCATGAGCCACGGCACTTGGTCCACCATCACTTTTTGATTTACAACATGTATCTCTAATTTTAAAGGATCCTTTTTAAAAATATGTATATAATTTCCATTTATCTTTTAAAATTTAATAATCATTCCTTGTTATCATCTAATACCTCATTTATACTTAAATTTACTCAATCGACCTATGTTTTAAAAAAATTCAATAGAAGAGATAGAACCTCATAGAATAGAAAATATCAGAGTGCATTTCCTATAGTCATGGTAAGTGTTGGTTTTGAAATAATTTCTATTATATATGTATCACTGCATATTCTGTAGCCATGAGGTAAAAGATGATTCTTTGTACTGTGGTCAAAAAAAGTCAGCCTCTGTGATGCCCGAGTGACCTCCATCTTCTTCTTTAGGTTTTCTTGAGCAAGGCTTAATGGTCAGTGATACCAACAGGCTGTGGCAGCATTACAAGACGACCATGCAATTCAAGCTGGATGTGTTATCCCTGGTCCCCACCGACCTGGCTTACTTAAAGGTGGGCATGAACTACCCAGAACTGAGGTTCAACCGCCTACTGAAGTTTTCCCGGCTCTTTGAATTCTTTGACCGCACAGAGACGAGGACCAACTACCCCAATATATTCAGGATTGGGAATTTGGTCTTGTATATTCTCGTCATCATCCACTGGAATGCCTGCATCTACTTTGCTATTTCCAAGTTCATTGGTTTTGGGACAGACTCCTGGGTCTACCCAAACATCTCAATCCCAGAGCATGGGCGCCTCTCCAGGAAGTACATTTACAGCCTCTACTGGTCCACCTTGACCCTTACCACCATCGGTGAGACCCCACCCCCCGTGAAAGATGAGGAGTATCTCTTTGTGGTCATAGACTTCTTGGTAGGCGTTCTGATTTTTGCCACCATTGTGGGCAATGTGGGCTCCATGATCTCGAATATGAACGCCTCACGGGCAGAGTTCCAGGCCAAGATTGACTCCATCAAGCAGTACATGCAGTTCCGCAAGGTGACCAAGGACTTGGAGACGCGGGTTATCCGGTGGTTTGACTACCTGTGGGCCAACAAGAAGACGGTGGATGAGAAGGAGGTGCTCAAGAGCCTCCCAGACAAGCTGAAGGCCGAGATCGCCATCAACGTGCACCTGGACACGCTGAAGAAGGTTCGCATCTTCCAGGACTGTGAAGCGGGGCTGCTGGTGGAGCTGGTGCTAAAGCTGCGGCCCACTGTGTTCAGCCCTGGGGATTATATCTGCAAGAAGGGAGACATTGGGAAGGAGATGTACATCATCAATGAGGGCAAGCTGGCCGTGGTGGCCGATGATGGGGTCACCCAGTTCGTGGTCCTCAGCGATGGCAGCTACTTCGGGGAGATCAGCATCCTGAACATCAAGGGGAGCAAATCGGGGAACCGCAGGACGGCCAACATCCGCAGCATCGGCTACTCAGACCTGTTTTGCCTCTCCAAGGACGATCTCATGGAGGCCCTCACCGAGTACCCCGAAGCCAAGAAGGCTCTGGAGGAGAAAGGACGGCAGATCCTGATGAAGGACAACCTGATTGATGAGGAGCTGGCCAGGGCGGGGGCGGACCCCAAGGACCTTGAGGAGAAGGTGGAGCAGCTGGGGTCCTCCCTGGACACCCTGCAGACCAGGTTTGCACGCCTCCTGGCTGAGTACAGCGCCACCCAGATGAAGATGAAGCAGCGTCTCAGCCAACTGGAGAGCCAGGTGAAGGGTGGTGGGGACAACCCCCTGGCTGATGGGGAAGTTCCCGGGGATGCTACAAAAACAGAGGACAAACAACAGTGAAAATGCAGCATCTGTCTCCTGCTTCACGGGGTCAACTGTCAGGGTGACGCTATGTGGCCACAGCTGTGTGGCATGGAACTTGGTCAGGGTTTAATTCCAGCTCTATTCACCCTTTAAAAGCTGTGTGACTGCCCAAGAGAGCCTGTTTCTTCACCTAGAAAACGGGACTTTTGTCTCAGTCCCAGTGAAGTGCCAGGTTTGACTGTGAGGTCCGCATGAAACACTGCACCAGGCAGGGCTTTGCAAAGTGCAAAGTATCCCCGGTCCAAGTATATGAAAGTGTGCACACAGGACTCTCACTACTTTTTTATGGAATCTGCAAGGCGTTTTTAGGCTTTTTAATCTAATTTTCTTATAAATGAAAGATTATTTAGTCACTTTTCTCCTCCCCAACTTCACTCCACCACCACCTGATAATGGGTATATAACAGAAAGCTGAAGGTACAACGTAGTGACTCAAATTCAGACTTACACAAGACAGTTTGAGGCATATTTCTGACTCTGGTATCACCTCGTGTGCTCTTTGGGGCCTTGGAAACCCTGGCCTTTGGGAGTGCTATGGCAAGTAGAAGTTCTGTAGGATGGAAAGAGGCTGCCCCATTTGAGGTCACTTCCAATCTGTGAAGCAAATCCAGACTCCTTGCCATCCAGCCACTGTGAAACCAGAGTCTGTTTTACAGAAAAGAGCATCTCAGGAGAAGAGACATCCCCTCCTTCTCACTTGCCAAAGAGATTCAAAGACAGCCCCTATCCTCCATTCTTGGGTCAAGGCCCTCGGTGACCTATTCTAACCCAAGGAGGAGAGCAACGTACAGGGAGAGCCTTTTAGACTGAAGGCTGGAGTGGTGTCCTAAACCAAAAAAGCCGACAACTAAGAGTTTTAGAAGATGAGACCATTAGGCATGTATCTTTGCAAACTGCCCCTTCACCCACAAAGAGGAAGCCTCAAGATCCCTTGGAATTGCATCCCGGGGCAAAGCTTTTGGCTCACCGAAAGCTCGCAGATTGCAGAAATTAGCTTTTTTTAAAAAAACAAACCCCAGTAAATATAATTTCATTAACATTTTATAACAGATTTATATTTTTGAGTTCTGTGATTGCAAATTATGACCTCAATATTCCATCCTTATGTAAATTACCCGAAGATGAATCTTCTTTCTTTCCTTTTTTCTTTCTTCTTACTTCTTTCTTCCTCTTTCTCTCTCCTCTTTTCCTCCTCAAAATGTATATATTTTAAAAGCCTTAACTATTAGTTATGCCTGCATTCATATTTGCACAGGCAAAATAAAGACCTGGATTTAAAAATAGGAATGACTCTTGCTTCAGCTCTTGCCATAAGGGAAGTTTCAGTCACAGAGTATGTTTCTAGGGCAATGGCTTCCCTAGAAAGAATAGGTGCTGATGTGGGGGAGGGCACACATTCCAAGAAAGTGACAATGCCAAGTGCTATTAAGGACACAAACCAACAAGAACTCTCATTCATTGCTGGTGGGCATGGAGTATGGTGCAGCCACTTCGGAAGACAATTTGGTAGTTTTTATAGAGTTAGGCATACACTTTAGCGTATGATCCAGCAGTCACACTCCTAGGTATTTACCTAAAAGAATTTGAAACTTATATGCACATAGAAACATCTACAAATGTTGGTAGCAGCTTTAATCATTATTAACAGAAATCTGGAAGTAGTAATAATATCATTCAGTAGGTGAATTGATAAACAGCCAGGTGAGGTGGTGTGTGCCTATAATCCCAGCTACTAAGGAGGCTGAGAAGGGAGAATCATTTGAGTCCAAGCGTTTTAGGACAGCCTAGGCAACATAGCAAGACCCTGTCTCTAAAAAAAAGAAACAAAAAAGTAAAACAGTGGCATACCTATACAATCACCATGTAATCAAATCCTACTCAGGAATGAAAATGAATGAGCAATTGATCAAGGGAAAAAGATTCCATTTGTATGACATCTGGAAAAGGCAAACAATAATGATGGAAAACAGCTCAGCGGTTGCCAGGGGTTGTCGGGAGGTGTAGAGGCTGATTGCAGAGATCACAGTGGGGAATTTTTAGTTGTGATGGAACCGTTTTGCATGGTGTGGGGGTGGTGGGTATATGACTGTGCGTTGTCCACTCTCGCAGAACGGTACACCACAAAGAATCAACTGTAATGTGTGGAATTTTAAAATATCAACCCAAATGTGAGCAACACAAGGATGGAAAGCAGATTGTGACAAGTGAATCTAACTGTATTAGAAATATATGACATAACTTTACTGAAGGACGTAGGGTAAAATGATGGCCTAAGTAATGTTAAAAATGGTGCTTTGAGTAGAAACTAAGGCTAAAGACGAAAAGATGTGACATGAATACTGTACTCTAGTTGTAAATTTGTTTCACATGGGGATATGGGTTACTAATTCAGAATTACATTATACTATGGATGAATGCATGAATGACTGAATAAATAAATAAATGCTTTAAAAAATGGAAGCCAGATTTATCATAGTCAGAAAAAGAGGCTACAAATAAGACCACACAAGATCAGAATGAACCCTGTGTTACTGGATTGGAATCAGACATTAGAATGAACTCATGTTTACTTATATATCCAGGTAGACAGATGCAGAAATGATTGTAGGGGTGTGTGTGTGTGTGTGTGTGTGTGTGTATATATGTGTATATATATATGTTGGTATACATAGATATATTTCTAACTCTGTGTACCAAGAAGCCTTGGCAGTGATACCTATTACAGAGAGCACACCAAGCACCCAGATCTTGGTTTCCAAATATCTTTCTCCAATGAAAGGAACCAGGGCTGATTCTAGGGCTGAGGCAGGGAAAACATACCATGAACCTGGAGTGTCCTGGAGTGTCTTGTAGTGCCAGAAAGTACTCAAAAAACACAATGTTGGGGGGCAAGTGGCAATAGGGCTTTCTACACACACACACACACACAAACAATGATGGAGGTAAATCAAAGGGACACAGCAACCAACCTGAAAGAGTTCCCAATGGCCAAAATTGAAGCTATCTGAAAAACAAAACTTAAAAATTTAGTATTAGACTATATCCCAAAGTATAAAAGTATATGAGTCTATGCCACAAATAAACAATTGAATAAATAAATTAATGAGGGAGAAAGGACGCGTTTTTTACAGAAGAATTCCAGATAACATATGTAGATTATTCAATACGTTCCACCCCAGGATGCAAAGCCTTGTTTGCAGATCTTGCACTCAGAACTGGAACCAAGGATCCGGCAGCCTCTACATTGCCTTGGGGGAACATAATGTCAATATCAACTGATCATGTGGGTGGGGTTACAGTAACGATGTTAAGGTGGGAAAGTTATCCTGGATTTTCCAACAGGGCCTGATATAATCATGAGGATTCTGATAAGTGGGAGGCAGGAAGATCAGAGAGAGGAAGGCAATGTAACAATGAAAGAATATGTATTATTCTTACGGTAGCAACTTCATTAAGATTTTTGCAATTCTGGAAAAGTGGTGGTGGCAGTGTCGTTTTTTGGGCTGTCTAAGTCTTCACATAAAAACACAGCAAATAAGACAGTAAATCTAAAGATCCACAGACAACATCTGACATCCCCAAGGATATGAAAACACCCGAATCACCAACAGGTGCTCATCAAAAAGCATGGCGAGCCTGTCTGAGAACAGGTGGAATTAAGGGAGATTCTGCAGGAATCAATTTGTGGGTGGCAGCAAATTGACAATGATGCTACAAGACTGATGTGCAGGGACAGTCTGGGTGCTACACACTCTAGATGTTCACAGAATAAAGCTTCCTTCTTTATTTGAGAAACATCTATTCAGATCCTTTGCCCACTTTTACATTGGGTTGTTTGCTTGCTATTGAGTTGTTTGAGTTCCTTATATATTTTAGATATTAACCCTTATCGATATATGGTTTGCAAATATTTTATCCCATTCTGTAGGTTGTCTCTTCACTCTGTTGATTGTTTCCTTGGCCGTGCAGAAGCTTTTTAGTTTAATGTAATCCTATTTGTCTATTTTTGCTTTTGTGGTCTGTGTTTTTGGGTTCACATCTTTAAAAATAATTTCCCAAATCAGTGTCATGGAGGATTTACCCTGTGTTTTCTTCTAGTATGAAAGAAGCTTCATTCTAAGACAAAATCTCTCACTGAGAGACAATTTGGAGTAAATTCCAAATTGATCACAGGACAGAAAAGGTAGTGACAAAGGAAAAAGAAAGTTTAGATTAAAGAGGGTAGAGAAGCAGAGGAGGTAGCACTAGTCCATATATATTTTTATCACTGAGAAAACAGCCGAAGAGAGAATTAGAGAACTATGAAGTTAGGAAAAAGGTAAATCATGTTCCAACTCTTCTCTCTAAAGTATAAGCACATTCAACTCACTTAAAAGATGAACAACAGAAAAGATGCACCCTCAAATTTCGTGCAAAGTCTTTATTAAACAGAGAGCGAGGAAGAATCAGAGGGAGTGTAACGTCTCTGCAGATAATGAAACCCACCAGAAAGACATGCCCACAGAGCGGATGTAAACTGACCCATCATTTCAAAACCAGCCAAAAGAAATTAAGAGAAGATAGATCCTTAAAAAACAAAACAAAACAAAAAAAAACAGCATAAGCCAGAATCAAGGATGAGGTGATTGAGGAAAAGGAAGATTTGACAAGAGCTGTAACAGAACTCAGGAAAGTACTGGAAATAAAATAACAAAAATAATTTCAAAATAAAGACTGAATTAAAAGGAACACAAGAGCAAATAAACATAGTGAGCGATGTTTTAAGAGAAATCAAAGATGAGAAGGAAAAATGTCTTAAAAATCAAAAAAGATATTCCAAATGTGACATTTGGGAAAAGACAAAACTATGGCGAAAGTAAAAAAAAAAAAAAAAAAGAAAGAAAAAAAAAAAAACCAAAAAAACGAGTGGTTGCCAGGGGTTGGGGGGATAGAAGGATAAACAGGTGGAGAGCAGAGAGCTTTAGGGCACTGAAAATACTCTGTATGGTACTGTAATGGTAAATACATGTTGTTATGCCTTTGTCAAAACCCACAGAATGTACACCACCAAGAGTGAACACCAATGTAAACTATGGACTTCAGGAGAAAACGGGTCAATGTAGGTTCGTCTCCACAGCAAATGCACCTTTAATAGCACTACCAAAAATATGGAGTATGTTGCAGGTATATGGGAATTTTGCTGTGAACCTAAAACTGCTCTTAAAATGCTTTTTTAAAATAAAAAACAAATGGAAAAGATAAAAAGAATTTGAGAGAAAAGTGATGGAGAATAAACAACAAAGATCTAACATGTTAATAAGAATCCCAAACAAGTACCGAAGCACAGGAACAGAGCCAGACGCTAAAACTTATCATGTAAGAAAAGTTCCTGAAATAAAAATTAGCTTGAACTAGATATGGAAGAAACATTCTGCATTCTGGGAAAACTGAGCCAGGAAACTGGCACTGAGACATATTAGAGTAAAACTTATAGACTCCAAAAGAAAAGAAAAAATGTTTTTGACATTCAGGCAAAAAAACAAAGTCACTTACAAGGGGATAATATCAGAGTGCCTTCAGACTTTTATAAAATAGCACTTCATGCTAGAAGACAATGAAACGACACGTAGGATATTCAAAGACAAAAAATATAAGCCACAGATTTTATGTCCAACCAAACTGGCCTTGAGGAAGAAAGGCTGCAGATAAACAGTTACAAACATACAAAAACTCAGGAGTATTGCTTTCATGAGCCCTTCCTGAGCAATCCACAAGAGAAGAACCTCAGAAGACCAAAAAGACTGGGAAAATATTGACATAAGGCCAAGTACTCTGCTCACTGAAAAAGCTCAGAACAATAGCTCAGTAGCAATGAGTACCCACAGCACCCAGGTTGTAGTCTCTAAATACAATTTCACATTTAAAGGAACTAAGATGAACCCAAAACATTTTGTTTTGCCGGAAAGCAAGGGAATTATCAAAGACTACTGAGATGATGTCAGTAGAATACAGAATCCAATTTGAATGCACCTCCACTGGCCAAAGATGGGAGAATTTGAGAATCACAAAGAAAAACAACTGCAACTGCATGTACTAAGTCAAATATATATTTAATGGTCACCATTGCAACTTGTTCCAAAAATTGTCAAAGAGAAAGAATCAAGCAGTTATGGCTGACTTTCCTATACAAAAACTGTATTTCAGAGTAACCTAAACAATTGAAGAAGAAAAGTTATTTTTCTTTTCTTCTGTGGGGTCAGGATCTCACTATGTTGCCCAGGCTGGTCTTGAACTTCTAGGATCAAGCAATACTCCCACCTCTGCCTCCCAACGTGCTGGGAAGTTCTTCTTTATAGAATAATTCCAACTAAAAAAAATATTATCTCATAGAATATTGGATCTAGGCAATCATATAAAATGGATATTAAAACCACTAGTTGCAAAGTTGATGGGGGTGGGGGGTAGAGCTGGACAGCCAAATAGAAGCCTCCAGTGATTGTTCCCCCACCACACACACAAGAATGCAAAATTGAACAACTATCCACACACAAAAGCACCTTCATCAGAACCAAAAATCAAATAAGCAATCACAGTACTGGTTTTAACATCGTATTAAGGAAGGCTACAGTGAAGAGGGTAGGAAAGACAGTCTTGAGTTGCCCACACCACTCCTCCCCTATCCCTCAGCAGCAGCTGCAGGCAAGAAGAGAGAATCTGTGTGCTTGTGGAGGGGAGAGCGCAGTGATTGTGGGACTTGGCATTGGAGCTCCGTGCTGCCCTGTCATAGCAGAGAGCAATGCAGGGCAGAACTCAGCCGACACCCATGAAGGGATCTAGACTAGCCCTCACCAGGCAAATCATCCCAGCAGTCAGAACTTGAGTTCCAGCCAGCCCTGCCACTGTGGGCTACAGTGCTCTGCGGTGCTGAGTAAACTTGAAAGGCAGTCTCGGCCGCATGGACTGCAATTCCTGGGCAAGTCCTGGTGCTGTGCTGGACTCAGAGCGGGTGGACATGGAGTGCAGGCAACCTAGTGAGATATCAGCGGAGGCAGCCGAGAGAGCGCTCACATCATTCCTCCTCTAACCCCGTGCAGTGCAGCTCGCAGCTCCAGGAGAGACCCTCTCTCTCTTCTTGAGGAGAAGAGACAGGAGAGTAAAGAGGATTTTGTCTTGCAATGTGAGTACCGGCTCTGCCATAGCAGAATAGGGCACTGGGCAGAGTCATGAGGCCCCCCTTCCAAGCCCTAGCTCCCAGATGACATTCTAAACACCCCCGGGGCCAAAAGGGAACCCGCTGCCTTGAAGAGAAAGATTTAGTCCTGGCAGAGGTAATCACCTGCTGACTGAAGAGCCTCTGGGCCCTGAAGAATAGTAGTGGTAGCCAAGCAGTGCTCACCAAGGGCCTTGGGCAAGACTCAGGGCTGTGCTGGCTTCGGGTGTGACCCAGCACATTCCCAGCTGTGGTGGCTGTGGGGAGAGGC